ATGTTTCGTTATTCAAGCAAAAAAAAAAAAAGGAAAAAAAAGAAAGGTGGTCGGTTTTGATTTGTTTGTTTGTTCCCATTCATTTTGCACTAACGATATCTTTGTTAGGCCCGTCCTACGACGTATACGCCACATCACAATAAACTTGAATGAACAGATGATAAAAGAGAACCGCATAAAAGAAAACGAACGCACTACGGAATTTTCGGCTTAGAAGTTGCTGCTCCTACTTTCCAGCTTTCACCTTCTGACTTGCCATTATAAAGGTAGCAGCGGAGGAGATAAGAGAGGCCCCGAACATCGCCCACACAAAACCCCGTCATGCGTTTGGCCAGCCGTATACCGATCGCCCGGCCTACGAAGAATATAGCACCGTAAAAATTCCCCTTTATATCTACGCGTGAGCCTTAAGGTATATCGCAATTGCATCGGACCGCACTTATTTGATCCTCTAGCGAAAAGAAAGGCATACACAAAAACAACGCTTAAAAAAGAGAAAATAAAAAAAAAATAAACGAAAACTTTCTGAAGGCACCGAACTTCGCACACGAAACCATTGATGCGAACGGCATACTCAGGAAAACGGTTACAACAACGTATCGAAATAAACCAGGAAAGAAAGTGAGAGAGAAACAACAAAAACAACGCCGACCGTCGAACCAACGTACTTGTGTGTCTGTGTGTGTGTATGTGTGTTTTTGTTTCGACGATGAATGCTTATAGCTCATCTCCGAACTGATACAGCGAGTTTCCGGGAAAAAAAGAATAAACATAGGGGGAAAATAAGGAAAAGATGGCTGGGAAAGTGGAAGCAACCGTGCCCCCATAAAGTAGGGGTATTTCATCATCGAAAAGGCTTTGAAGTATTTCGAATAATAACAATAAAAAAAGGGGTATTAAAGCTGCAAGTTTTTGGAAAAATCTGATAGAAACAAATTCGGAACCTAGCTCCGCCGGAGGTAGTTATGAACCTTCCCTAAAGGGAAATATTATTTCTGAATAAATATGAAACAAGAGACAAAAACGTTACAAGCAAAAGCTGCGGAAAACTATGAACTCTCTCCTAAAGTTAGGAAGACAGTGCACGTCTTGAGAGGAATGCTACCGAGCGAAGACAAATTCCTCTATGAAATTAAAACAAAATGGGGGAACAGCCTGCAATAAAAACAAGAGAACATGCATTCTTTCTTCTTGGAAGACGCAAAAAAAAAAAAAAAAAGGGGGGGGGGGGAACACGAATTCCCCAAAAGAAAAAAGAAAGAAAGGTGACAAAAAGATTAAAAGCAAATTCCTGGTGCAAAGTTGCGAACGATATTCCCTAAAATTAGGAAAAATAAAGACGTCTCCTAAACATAGAGGGAATAAATTGTTAATCTATAACAATGGGGAATGCGTTTAGTGGTGAATTTGCAATACAAGAAAAGAGACGAAATTAGACAATTTATCCTAAAAAGTAGGTAAGCAAGAAGGATTTCGCCTACAGGTATTCAGATTTAATTCTTGATTTAAGAATGGGGAAGATGTGTATTGCTCAATATATAAAAAAATAAGAACGACTTCTTCAAAGATCGTAAAAATTAGGGAACATCCTCACTACTCGGGAATTAATTATTTATCTAAATGGGGAAAAGGCGAATTGCTCAATGCGCAAAAAACAAGAGAAAGAAAGCAACATCAGATAAATTTTACCTAAAATAAAGCAGTATGGAGGATTTTGACTATACAGATTGAGAAGTGCACCTAAAATAGGGAAGAACAAAAAGCAATGTATCGCTCAATGCACACAAAAAGTAGAAAGAAGAAAGAGGGAGTTGAGGAAATTTTAGCAGAGAAGGGAGGAGGCAAGGGCCGGGGAGGGGAAGATAAGCTGGGCGCCCATCGAGATCTCGGCGTGCTCGGCTGCACTCCCGTTAGATAACCGCATTAAAAGGAGCGTCCGAGAAATGGGGCGGAAGCAGGACCCGCAGCCATCCATCATCGGAGCGCCAGTCCGGTCCGAGCCCGGTTATCTTGGGGAAGAACGGATAGGAGGGAATCCCCCGTTGGCGCACCTACTTTTCCGCTCGGGCCCGCTTCGGGTATGCAACGCGCCCCCATTCTCGGATAGGTAGAAGCGTAATCCGACGCTGTGAGCAGACCGAGACTGACTACAAAGTAGCGGCGACTGGACGCGGCAATGCATCGAAAACAAAATGAAATATGCGCGTGTAAAAAAAAAAAAAAATTCACAGCGGGGGAGGAGGTGACAATGGATCCATCAATTCGGGATCGCTACTTTGATAGTATAAGAAGCAATCGCGCAAAATGGACGAGGCCATAACAGGGAGGCACACGAAAGAAACCAACAAGGGGTGTAGACTTACAACTCTGGTGTATTCGTCTTCTATTTTTTCTTTTGTGAGCAATTTTTTTCCGCTGTTACTTTTTACTGTAAATCACCAGCTCACCCAAGCCACCATCCATTCCCTATATATAGGAGGCCATGCTTCATCTTAGCATGGTACTTTGAGTTAAAGTGTAGGAGAGAGACAAGGGGGCCGGGCCGAAGCGAAGACACATAATAAAAAGCAAGAAAAAATAGGAACTTTAACGGAACTAATAAAGAGCGATACTGAGGGGTTTCTGGTTTCCGACATACAACCACGCGCTATACAGGACAAAAAGAAAACGTCTACAAATAATATAGAGACATCAACAGCGGCGCTCTGAATGAGAGTGCGTGTTTACGACAAGAGTTCTCTCCGATCATGAAAATTGTTTACAAACAAAAAAACACCCATTTATTGGTGTACCATTTAGATGACCTCCAGTCACGTCATTCGTACTGTCGGAAACAATCTGCATTGGAAAGAAATCAAAGCATAGGGGCCGTAGTTCCCATATTTGGGCGAGTTCCGGTCCGGGTCGCCGAGAAATTGTACGAATACGAGATCGCAGCTCCATTCAGAAAGGAGACCCCGACCGGATAATTGGAGGGAGGACCGAGCCTCGTGAACGCGATGACGTCGTCACACGCGCCATTCCGCGCAAACAGGGCAGCTGCGAGGACCTTTAAAGAAACGAGCTTCCATTCGACACGAAGCGACGGGCACAAATGGGTCGTGAGAACCATCGCCCGGGCGTTCATTAGTGCGCCAACTCGATTAAAAGGAACGCCTAACGCGAGAGAAAAAAAGAGGGAAGCCGAGTATATATAGAGTGGCGACAACTGGACTTGATGAGCGCTAAAGAGGATGCCATTTGATGGTACCGCGCTATCGCGCGCCGTTCGGGGTCGCTTTTGCGAATATAGTGACCAAATTCAACGTGGCAGCGACGAGGGTGACCTAGAAGTAGCGGCAGTCTGCTAATGTGTGCTAAGAAACAAAACAAAAACACGAGGTGATTGTTGTTTTTGGCAATTAAGAACGCTATTGTGAAGCGTAATGAGTAAATACTTGAAGGCATAAGGTGGCACGCGTCCGGTGATGTCACTTTTATTATTTTCTAAAAAATAAAAGTGTATAAAAAATATACATCGCACACGAACGAAAACATTTGTTGAGTACGTTTGGAACATTCTCTGAGTACGGGCTTTCGTGGTTGGTCTGCGAAACGATTGGATGCCGTGGCTGATACGTGGTGGTGTTTATTTGGCGCCCTATTAACTTGGATCTAACTATACAGTGCTTATCACGTAAAGGGGAAAAAATATGTACGTAGATACTTGCGCTTGTGTTTCGATTTACCGATCAACTGTGGTAGGCAGAGTTAAGATTTATGAGGACGAAAACTCCAGTCTCAGCCTTGCAGGCGGGCCACACCGTGTCTAGCGTCGAGGTTCTGTTTTTCTGTGTGTGTGCGTGTCTCTGGGTGTGTGTTTTTATCGCTGCTGTTTTCGAGGCGTTCACACCTGGAAAAGTGTTCTCGAGGGGCCTGCAAGTCCCCCCTTCTAACTCTTTAGATTCTTCTTCGTAGCGTTGCGTGGCCAGCGGAGCCTCGTGGCGCAGGTGTTTGGCAGCCGGCCAACTCTCTTAGAGTGTGGTTTGCCGTGGCAAGCTTAAGGTTTCGAGGCTAAGTAGAAGAAAATATTAGGTTCAGAAAAAATGCAATAGACCGTTTTCAAAATCCAATCGAGCAACATTGGCGGCATCCGTTTCTAGGTGGCGCAAGCTACCGCCCGTTACAAAGGGTACACCCATTAACATCCATCGATCCATCCATTCATCCATCCATTCATCCATCACTCGGCACGAAGCTTGCGGTTGGATCCGAGTCCTCGCCGAACTCTGACGCAGCACTCGTTTCCAGTTCGAGCTGAGCCGAGTTCAGCTGTACGCGGACGCTGTCCTCGTGAGCAATATGTGCTCAGAGTACGTTCTCAAAAAATGGCGTACTCTGATAAGTGGCGCAGCAGCTACTAGGTGACCGCCACTTTTGAAAAGGGTCTTTTCTGCAATACAAGTTCCGCGCTTAGTTCATATCATGGTGTAAGACATAGTATATAGGTGAAGACACACAGAACTGCGAACGCTGCGACGCGATTGACCAGATAAAGTCCTATTGGGGCACGCCCCACTAGCCTCAGCCGACAGCGTCTCTGCCGTCCAGACGGCGCAACTAAGGAAAAAAGAAATACTCCGCGACAGCTCTTTACGTTCGGAACGCCTGTTCTGATTTTGACGGACACTGGCTTGAACACCGCGTCAGAGATCTATCTGCTTCAACGCGTTCGTCAAAGTGTTATGGCGGCTGTTGAGGCAGAAAACTAGGGTCTAAGCAACACGCGTAGCGCAAGTATCAAGTTCTACATGACGTGGGGCAGCCAGAAAACGACTTTAAGAACAAGCATGTCTCTCATAGAGAAGCATTGGAAACCGGACCCGCGACAGGCTGCCGCGTACCGAAGAGTCATTTGGTGGCGTCGCTTGCAATCAGAATGAGGAGAGGACATTATCTGGTGGCTGCGACGCGTGCGCGGTAAATGAAGTAGATGGTGTGAAGGCTGAGACGTGACTCACTTCTGGCCGATCGCCTCGACGTCGACGTCCGATCCTAGCTGCTGCACGACGACGAGTTCCTCTGGCGGCGGCGGTAGGGGCCTGTCATCGTCCGTAGGAGACACCCGGCAGTCCCCGAGGCCGTGGACCGGCGGCGGAGGCGGCAGCGGAAGCTCGGGGCTAGAACACGCCGACGGAGACGAGGTCGCCGTTGTCGCCGTGGGAACCCTGAGCCCCGGAGCGACTGGGGGTCCGACGGGCAGGTCCGACGCCGTTTCGGGTATCGACGATGTTAAGGACCGTTGCTGCTGCTGCTGCCTCTCCTGGTCGCTTGGCCACTGCGCAGTTACGAATACGTCGAGGAGCTATACTGAGTTGGTTTAACCAGAAATATTGAGGCCGTCTCAACGGGGCTGGCTGATATCACAGATAAGAAGACATTTCGAGAATTTAAAGGGGGAGTGTCTAGTTCGGCCTACGTTTCGCAAGGACATCGGACTTGTGTTATGCTTGCAGAACCCCACACGTGCCTCGTGAGTTCTTTGTGTGAGGAACGCCTTATGCAGAAGACACTGAGTCCCATAGCAGAGACAAAATCACAACATCATTGTTCGTGTCTCAAATGCCTCCACGTGATAAAAATGTTTTCCTTCAGTTACATATATATTTTGTGATATTATTCATGCATAATTTTATCCGACAATTGTTTTTTAAATTGTACTTCAGATATACCTTGACCTAAAACTCAAGGAGCATCACTGTAACCTAAAACATAGCGTCGTAGGGGTCAATAAAATGCGTTGGTTCATCGACTTATAGCACCAGCACCTACTCAATGGCAAATAGAGCCGGAACACAAACATCACGTACTTAACTCATCACTAAGCAGGCTCACTCTCAAGCATGAAAGAGCACGGGAATTTCCAGTCCTTTGCCGTTTCCCGTCCTAAAATGAACTACGTGACAACCTTCCCCTTAGTTCATACTACGATTCAACATAATGACCAGCAAGAACCGATCAGAGCGTCGTGACAAAGCGTCCAAATTCACTTTTCCCGCGCACAGCTGTCACGTGTTTTACATCATCGCTGTGATTCGGTCTTGTGGGCCGTAGCCTTCGTCCATTGCAAAGGAATGTTGAAATATAACATAAAGACACTAAAAGGATATGTGTCAAGTTATTCTGTGCAAATATTTGCTGAAACGAAGCATATAAACACTACAAAGCTAGGTACCAAGCTATGCTATACAATGTCTTACTGAAACGAAGAATCGAAACACTACAAAGTCATGGCTCAAGCAATGCTGTGCAAAGTTCAGCTGAAACAAAGCGAGGGGACACTACAAAGTGTTGTGTCAAGTTGTGTTGTGCAAAGCTACGCTGAAACAGCATAGGGACAATAAATGTTATATACCAAGGTATGCTGTGCAAAGTTAAGCTGAAACGAAACATACTGACACTACAAAGTTATGTCGCAAGTTGTGCTGTGCAAAGCTATGCTGAAACAGCATAGGGGCTATTATAACGTCATGTACCAAGTTATGCTGTGCAAAGTTCTGCTGAAACAGAGCATAGGGACACTACCAAGTTAGACGCCAAGTTATGCTGCGGCAATTTCTGCTGAAACAGAGCATAGGAACACTACAAGGTTAGGTGCCAAGTTATGCTGTGCGAAGTTCTGATGAAACAGTGCATATGGACACCACAAAGTTAGATGCAAAGTTATGCTGAAATGGAGCGCGAATACACTACAAAGCTAAGCGCCAAGTTATGCTGTGCAATGTTCTGCTGAAACAGAGCACAGGGACTCTAGAAAGGTAGGTGCCAAGTTATGCTGTGCCAAGTTCTGCTGAAACGGAGCATAGGTACAATACAAGGTTGGGAGCCAAGTTGTGCTATGCAAAGTTCTGCTGAAACGGGGCGTAGGGAGATTACAAAGTTAGGTGCCAAGTTATGTTGTGCAAAGTTCTGCCGAAACAAAGAGTAGGCGCACGACAAAGTTAGATGCCAAGGTATGCTGTGCAAAGTTCTGCTGAAACAGAGTATAGGTACACTACAAAGCTAGGTGCCAAGTTATGCTGTGCAAAGTTCTGCTCAAACGAAACATAGCTTCACTACAAAATAAGGTGCCAACCTATGCGGTGCAAAGTTCTGCTGAAACAGCATAGGTACACTATAAGGTTAGGTGCCAAGTTATGCTGTGCAAAGCTTTGCTGAAACGGAGCATAGGTACAGTACAAAGTTAGGTGACAAGTTATGCTGTACAAAGTTGTGCTGAAAAAGAGCATAATGAAACTACAAAGTTAGATGCTAAGTTATGCTATGCAAAGTTCTGCTGAAACCGCATAGGTACACCATAAAGTTAGGTGCCAAGTTATGCTGTGCGAAGTTCTGCTGAAACAGAGCATAGGGGCACTACAAGGTTAGGTGCCAAGTTATGCTGCGCAAAGTTCCGCTGAAACGGAGCATAAGGACACTACAAAGTTAGGTTCCAAGTTATGTTATGCAAAGTTCTGCTGATACGAAGCATAGGAAAACTATAAAGTTAGATACCAAATAATGCTGTGCAAATTTATGCTGAAACAGAGCATAGGAACACTGCAAAGTTCGGTGCCCAGTTATGCTGTGCAAAGTTATGTGGCAACTTGCGCAGTGTAAAGTTATGATGTGAACCGGCATATGGCCACTTAAACTGGGCATAGCGTTCCCACACTCACCCTGAGGGCAACTCCGACCCGCTCTGCGATCCTCTGCAGCTCGGGGTCGTCGTTCTCGAGGCCATTCTCTTCAGACGTCGCGGTCTGCGGCCCGCACTTCATGGGCGGCGGCCGCGGCGGGGGCTTCGGCTCGGACGACGGACTCCTCCTGGGAGGCACGGCGGGAGGGACTAGCGTCGGCGAACTCCCGCACCTGCCGGCTGCCCGGTCCTGGCCGTCCGGAATCCGGGACTCGAGGAACTTTTCGGAAATCCTGGACAGAAGCTTGTCCTGGATCCTCTTGTCTAGCAGCCTGTTGTTCTGCACCATGTCTAAGACCCTGTCTTCAACTCTCTCTTCGAGTTTGTCTTGCGGAACTCCGTCCGGGAACCTTCCCTGAATCCGATCCTGGACCGTGCCTTCGGTCCTGTCCTGAGCTTGGACCGGACTCCTGTCTTGTGGCCTGTCCTGTGGCTTGTCTTGAGACTTTTCCTGGACTCTGTCCTGCGGACTGCTGTGCGTCCTGTCCTGGCTCCTGTCGGAGCCGCGTTCGGGGCAGGGGGCTACGGCGAGGGTGACGCCTTCCGAGGTCAGGAGCTGCAAGGCCGGTGTGCTCCTGTCCGGGAGGCGAACCTCGCGGAGTTGCGCTTTCCTCGCGCCGGACACCGGGGTCAAGCCCGTGGCTGGCCTCCTGAGGAGGAAGGTAATAAAGGCTACCGTTAGAACACCTTAATAAGACAACAACAAAAAAGCGAGCTCAAGTTTGCCTAACGCGTTGAAATGTGATAAGCTTATCTAAAACAATGCGATGTCGACAAAATTCATGTTGCGTGTATGTTTAGCCAGTCGTGACTTAGTCTCAAAGGGCGTCTGGTGTCTTCGAACGGACGAGTTATTTAGCCAGTGCAGTACCACCGGTAGCCCGGGGTCTATAAAGTTCATCACGCAGGATGCACGACCGCACACCGGTACGATGCTCAACCAGATCGAAACGGGCAGGAAGTGGGGACAAAGCCCAGGATCCCCGGGATCAGCAGCGCGAACTTTCGCTTCACGTACCCCGAGCTATGTTGCGTTAACACACTCGCCAACCGATCCCCTGATGTTCACTGCGTACTTGCAGCGATGTTAGGCGAACCATGAAAGATATAGTTTCACCTGAAGCTTGAACAAGGAGCAGAAATAGTAACGTTCAAGTTTGCCAGACAGGAATGCCATAATTCTTTCTAACAGATTATATGGGGAAGTGAACTAAAAAAGAGCGATCGTTTCTTATTGTGATATTTTCTAAATTTCTGATAATAGTAATCGATGACGCAGAAACGGGAAGGGGTCGCCTCCGATTGTTCTGGCACAAGCGCGCCTATCCATGTGTCATGGGGTGTGCGAATTTGAGCGTAGATCCCTGACACGGCTCAATTCGCAGACATGTTCCGCAAGGACAGTGGGACACAAGATGCACCACGTTAATTCTGAGGCACTGATGATTGTATAAAACAATATAGAAAAGTATTGCCTTTGAATATTTTTTTTATCAGAAGGTGTGGCACATTTATTAACGAGATCAACATAATTTGATGCGACATTCATTCTTCGCGACAAGCTCGCCGTTTTGCAATAAAGACTCACATAGTCCTTGGAAGGAATCTTACAGCATTCACGTTTTTTATTGCGCATAGCATATCCAAAGACGAGTATGCGTATCCTGTACTTTATGCTAGTGGCCAAAGATCCTTGCAGACCTTTTCTTAAACCTGAGCAGAGTCATCGAAAACCTGAAAAACACCAATAGCGCGGCTCTCAATGGCTGGATCAATCACGACGCTGCATTCGTATAATTCGGACCGTCAACACGGAGGCTCGTTCGAGCCCCCGGCAGATGGCGCAGACGGTCATCAACCAGGTGACGTCACGGGCAAGCATCTGCCAGTTACCCCCGATAAGAAAGATATCCTAAGCCGTACAGCTCGATGGTCCGGTCGAAGACTCGAGGGTCGGCGAGTGGGTCCACACACGAGCGACGCAACACGCCTCGAGGGCGCGGGAGTACGGTACTTCCGTTCTGAGCTCAGGGCTTCCGTGGTGCCCAGCTCGGGGTCGTTCACGGAATGCAGAGCGGCGGACAATAATTAAATCAGGGGCTAACGGGCATCGACCGAGCCTCCCCACGACCTTCTGGGCTTCGGCCACAAATTATTTATGGGGTCCACTCTTCGCCCTGTGCTGTTCGGAGCGATGCTTCGATGGCGGTGGGCAGACCTCCTTCAACACCCCGGAAACGACGTAGAGCCAAAGCTCAAACAATGAAGAAGTGACGGCGATAGGTTGTGATCGATTTCGCGAGAACCACGAAACAAAGTTTGATCTAATGTCGAGAAAGCATTTATTCAATGAGATTAATCTAATACGCTAAGAAAGCTGGAGCGTCTGAACATCTTATCAGCCTCGCCATTCGCCTGGATTGCAGCGATTGACATTTCCCAAGTTCTTTGCGGAAAAGTAGACGGTACAGATTTCTCAGAGTGATCTACGGTAACTTAAGCTCCGCAAATATGTTTCCGCCAAACTATTTTTTATTTTATTTTTGTGATTGAAATATTGTGAACGAGATCGTTCCTCTCAACGTGTTCTTCCCAGTTTGACTCAATGCTTGTTTTTATCCTAGTGTCTGAGATTTCGTCGTTCACATTTTTGAAGCATGCGAACGCTGTTAATGTTCTTCGTAACACGTTTCTTTTTTTTTTTATTGTTTTTGTGATTACCTTACAACGACTCGCTCTGGGCAGTGTGGTGATGCCGTGACAAATATATTAACACGTACATTTTAAAGGCAACGAACGAGCGCACTATTTTTATATTTCCGAAAGGAACAAGGTTTCACACCAATCTGGCATTTCCCCGCGCTAATCTTAAATTAAAAAAAAAATTTTTTTTTTTACAGAATTACAGTTAAATAATTAGCCTTGACGCGACCTCATTACAGTCGCCTACGCTTAAGAAAGCTAAGGCGTGGCTTAATAGTTTCGTCACGCTTCTCGGTTCCTGGTTGGTTCCGTGGCGTTCTTATCGAGTAATTCCGACGCCCGTTTGGCTCAGGAGCGATCAGAAAAATGCCCTGGACGCACAATGCCTCGCGCTTCCTTAACGGTCCGTGCCTAATCGGAGCGCAAGTTCGTCAGCCTCTTGCGCGGGGGTTGCACTGACGTCAGGACGCCGATCTCTGATTGGCTCTGATAAAGGAATAGTGGGTAGATTTCAATGCTAGCTGCCCCAGAGGTCTACCCACTATCCTTCCGATCGGAGCCAATCAGAGATCGGCGTTCTGACGTCACCTTAAACACCTGCTCAAGAAGCAGACGAACTGGCGCTCCGCATAGAACAGTTCGAGCCGCTAATACGCCATTCCAAATTTTACCTGCTAACGCATCAAATTAAAAAAAAAATGCACCTTGAGAGTTCTTGTTCTGCTCCCATTCAGATCTAATGGCTCGTGAAATGAAAGCAGAACTGTACAGATTCGGACCGAAGGCACACGCTTGCGTCATTTAGATCGGAACGCCCGCCTCGTACAGGAATTCGATTTCGACGGCAGCATTAGATCAAAGGCAGCGCGGAAAACGGCTCGAGGCTGAAGGACTCGGTCGAGCCCATCGATAGGTCATTCGCCGAAATACTTTACTGGAAGATTACGAAAGAGGCAGGGAGCTTTCCTAATTAATAGGAGCGCCCAAACGATTGCGTCATAGTTATTGAGCGTGCTCGCGTTGTCAAAAAGCTAGGAAGCCGTCAAGTGCACAAGGCGACGTCGAGGAGAGGCTGCGGATTGACAGACGGCCCAACGAAACGACCCAAGTAAAGACATCGACTGTTGTCGATTACAGAATAACGCAGTGCGTCGCTCGTTCAGTTCGCGCTACTCGCTTCGCGATTGGCTCGTCAGAGTTGCTGTAGACAAATGCTGTGTTTTTATCGGCTGTGGGGTGATACAAAAACGTGTCGAGACTGGCCACACCCTGCGGTATTTAAGTTTACCAGTTATGGTACCAGATGTTAGCCAGCGCCGACTTTGTATTTTTCCTGCTTCCTGCGAGTTGGGTTCTTCGTCAACGTTGAAGGTTGGCTAGCTCGCCCGCAGCTTTACTGCTATTCTCGCCAGCAACACCCGCCAGCCTAAAAAAGAGTTTCGCCACTCCGGCCCGTCGCTCGCCCTCTCGCGGACGAACGGGGAACCATAGGAGTGGGGAAGGCGGCGGAGACGGTGGCTGAAATTGTCGGCCTTGGCTGTGATCGGCGTGTTCGTGCATCATGCAGTTTTCACAAAAAAAAAAAAAAAAAAAAGCGAGTGCGATGAAATAGGAGTTGGTACGTTCCGCTCCGCGAGCTTTAAAAATCAATATGTTAATTTTCATAACGCACGTCGACATCTCCCTCACCTGTAATACAAAGCGGTCAGGGCAGTTCCTGCCCTGACCGCTTTGTATATGTAGCCAAATAAATTAATTTTACAACAGTGACCAGCGTCACCGAGGAGGCGCACGAGAAATCGTGGAAAATCTACCCCATATTTTCCGCCATCTTGTTGAGAATACTGACTTGTTGAGAATACCGCACTGGCTGCATCGCATTAAAAACACACACACACGCATATATATATATATATATATATATATTACAAAAAATTTAAAAAAAATAAAAAAAAATTTTTTTTTGGAAAATTAATTTTAAAATTGGTACTTTTTTGGTTTTCGCATAACATTAACATAAGCGTCCCGCAAAGGGCACTTTATACAGCCCGAGTCATTTTATAATATATATAAAGAGCAGGTTTTGGGCTCTCCGTAGACATAAAAAATATTGATGTAACCCAAGCAGATCGCCAGTATTTAATTGTCGAAGTTCGTCAACAATTGACTGAGGGGGCGTTTTTGACATTTTTACAGAAACAAAATTAAAACACCTAAAACTATTGCATGGTATTAGAGCGTTTTACATAGTCTCACAGAGTGCTTGGAAAAAGTTAACATAATGTGGACTGAAAATCCACGGCGGGAGATCGAGCGAAACATCTCACCCACGACGGATGTGAAAAACACTGCTTTCCGCCGCGACCTCTTTTAAAATTCGTAAGTCGATAAAAAAAAATCCGACGAACTTGCGATTTGTGGCTACTGAGTTTTTAGAAACGACGCCATAACATGTATTATTTTCAGCGAATTTAAAAATTAGCCTCTTTTTGCCTGCACGATTTGAGATGAAAACACCCATATATATACAGGGTGTCACAAAAGAAAATTTACACGGTATTTTTTACCGCAAAAATAAAATAGGCATCGTCGAACGCTCATTCTCCGCCCAAAGGTAGAGCTAGAGGTCACAACCAGATGCCAAAGTTTCAGCCCGATCCGATAACTTAATCAAAAGTTATAAGTCATTACCTGAAAATTTCAATGGGAAAATGGAGCCCATTTTTGCCCGTTTTCAGTTTTTGCCTTAGAGCCCCATGTGTTTGAAAACTCCGTCGGCCGCCATTTTCCCATTGAAATTTTCAGAAAATAACTTATAACTTTTGATTAAGTCATCAGATCGGGCTGAAACTTTGGCATCTGGTTGTGACCTCTAGCTCTACCTTTGGGCGGAGAATGAGCGTTCGGCGATGTCTAGTTTATTTTTGCGGTAAAAAAGACCGTGTAA